AGCCAAATATTAATCTGTGCTGCAAACTGTGTCTAAGAATGTGCATAATGTTAGACATTGTTGTAAACACAAGGCTCCATTGGAAAATCCCTTGGTTACAAGAATCTGTTGGTCAGCAAAATTTTGCTCCACAAAAGTCCTGCCAGTACAACACTTTTTCCATTTGAAAAATCAGTGTCAGATTGATCATCAAAATGAACTCAAAGAATGCTGTCTGTAGAAGAATATTGCTTCACATGTTGTACAAGTGGCTGAAAATATTTTTCCACAGACAGAATTTTTCACCTATACAACATGATTCTTTGAGTTCATTTTGATGATCAACCTGAGACTGATTTTTCAAATGAAAAAATTGTTGTACTGGCAGGATTTTTTGTGGAGCAAAATTTTGCTGACCAACAGATTTTTGTAACCAGGGTATTTTCCAGTGGAGCCTTGTGTTTAAAACTATGTCTAACATTATACACATTCTTTGACACAGTTTTCACCACAGGGCTACATCAGCAAATCCCACAGGTAGAAAAAATTCCACACCAGTGTAATTTTTTTATCCTCTGGATTTTTGTATGGCACAGTTTCGGTTGACTGGATTCTTGAATCCTGTGGGTAAAAAAATTCTGCTGTAAAAATCCTGTAGGTGCAAAAATGCCTTTGGTATATTGCACAAAATGGCAGATATTTGCATGCCAATATCCACCATTTCCTGTTTTGTTTTTTTGTGGACCATTTCTTGTGATACATAAAATATTTTTCTACAGACAGCATTTATCACCTGCAATATGTAATCATTCCTGGAGTTCATGTACCCCAGTCAGTTTTATCACAGCCTGGATTATCACAGTCTGTGGTGCCATGTTTATCACAGCCTGGACTCAGCAGGAGCTGTGCATCCCTGATGGTGAACTGAAGTATTCAGCTCACAATCAGAATATGTAAAATTCAGGTGAATATAGTTGAATATGTAATAATAAATACCTACACCTGTAATATACTGGGTGTGGCTTGGCTGTACTGGTTATCCACATTTGTTTTTGCATGGCATGGCTGTACACTTGTGCAGCCACACAATGTAAAAACTTTTAGAAAATCAATTGAACTGATTTTTCAAAAGTTTTTGCATGGTATGGCTGCACAATTTTACAGCCATGGCATGCAACAACAAATGTGGATAACCAATACAGCCAAGCTACACACAGTATATTACAGATTTAGGTAATTATTTTTACATATTCATCTAATTTCACTGGAAATACTTCAGCTTACCATTGGACATACAGCTGCCAGAGTCCAGGCTCTTGAAGAGATTTTACAATCATTTTCTCTCCATGTCAGAGACCAAATCACAACCTACCATCAGTTATTAATTCAGTGTGCATGAATGATACCAGTAGATCTTTTGCAATTATTTTTAAAACAGCCTCCTGTATGTGAAGAAAACTGAATACTATTTTTGAAGGGTATGCTTTTTTACATCCTATACATACATGCATGAGGGACTTGCTTGGAATCCCAGGATATCCCATGTGCACTGGTGGTGACCCTGATGTTCACAAACAGCAAGCTTCCTGAGAATAAGCAAATCAGCTTTCATATCAATTTTGAATATTTAAAAGGTATTTTCAGTTTAGAATGTTGTGTTTTGTGCAATAAAATTGGAACAATAGTTAATGTTTGGGTCACGCCTTTGATTCCCTGATTGGGCAAGTATGAGAAGAGTATACTGTAGTCAGCACTTTCTGTTGTGGTTGCTCTCAAGCCCATGATGCCAAGTTTTCAGCAGGACTTTCTTGAAGTGACAAATAATTCTATAATCAATCTTGAACTGTGAAGTTACCTGTTCTTGGATGCTGTTCTGAACCATGTATTCAGTTCCTGCATGTCCATGGATCAGAAATTGTGTACTTTCAAAGGCTGGTAATGTTGAATGCATGCATGAAATGTGCAGCAGTCCAGGTTCATGAATCCAATTTCCAGCATGGTGCATACTCCTTGATGCAGCACCACAATCAGCAAGAGCCAAAAATCTTTCAGGATCAAATTGCATCCAAATGTCAAGAAAATCTATCAACAGCATGAATGCCAGTTAGCCATAGTCACTGCTAATATAGTGGAAGCACTTGCTGTTCAAGATCTTTCATTTTCAAGGAGATAGGTCTATTTTCTTTTATGATCAAATCAGTGATACACCCGTCTGATATCTGCACAAGTATTTGTTGGTTTTGTGGAATGGAATTCAATGCTAAAAGAGGAATTATTTACACAACTGATACCTGCATTTCCTGATCAAATCATGCAATCAGAAAGATAACTACTCATTTATATTATGTATTGGAATGCTTATTTAATGAAATTCTCCTAAGGAATGTTCTCCTAAAATATTTTCCAGATGTTCTGGAGGATATTATGGTATCCTCACATGTAGAAAATACCATGTGGTACCACTGATAGGCTGTATAGATACAAAGTCATGGCTAATGAATGCCTTTCTTCAGAAAGCTTGAATCTTCCAAAATTTATCTGGTAAATGATGGCAAAACAACTGATTGACTGATCACTAGTTGACTATGATACTATGATACTAGTTGACTGATCACATCAGGAACTGAAGCGCAAGTGTACCTCTGTTGTACGCTGCAGCAGTCCTGACCATCATCTGACGCACCAGCCGACGGTTTTGCAAAGGAATAAACACTGCGTCACACAAACCGTCGACTTGACGCATCCACGACGCACCACGAAAACTAACCAGATAGCGTCAGCATGATGCGCGTACTTCGACGCGTCAAGTAACCATCGTCAATGCATTGGCTGATGCTCAAATTATCTGCTGGCTATATATGGGTTTACAAAAATACCTGTTTCCTACTTTACAGAGCTGAAATCAATGACAGCATCAGGAGGATCTGGTATGATGAGAGAGTCAAGAGAGAAGAGCAAAGGATTGCAGATAAGGAGATCCAGGGAAGAAATAATTATGGTGCAGGTGAAGAAAAGTCTGTTTACGCCTTACCACCTTTCTTCCTAGATTATTAAAGTTACATTTCAAATTGGTATGCAAATCATTTTTCTTCAAAATTTGGATGCTCCTGTCNAAGGAGATCCAGGGAAGAAATAATTATGGTGCAGGTGAAGAAAAGTCTGTTTACGCCTTACCACCTTTCTTCCTAGATTATTAAAGTTACATTTCAAATTGGTATGCAAATCATTTTTCTTCAAAATTTGGATGCTCCTGTCAGAAAGTAATGTCTTCTTAAAAAGAGTGAGTCTTTTTACTGCTTTGTACAATATGAATTGAATCATCATGAAACTGCTTGCTTCTTTGTTAATCACTTATAAACATACATACATCTTTGCCACCTGATGTAATTATCATACTTCTTGTTGAAATTTCATCTGTGTCAGGATACTTCCTTTGAAAAAATCAGCACATTTTTAAGCAATGCAATTCTTGACTAATCAACTGTTCAGCAACACTGTTACTACCACAAGTGTGTAAGGAAACACTCCCCCGAGAGCATACTAGAAAATTTGATATGGAACTGCTGAAATGCTCCACATTCAGATTTCCAATTTAACCAAAGAGGGGCACTTGTACACGAGAGGTAAGGCGAAGTTGTTTGTCTCAAAATCGAACATGAAATTCCATCACATGGCCCAAAAGAGAAAAGATACAGAGAGGAACGTTTTCGAATTACAGAATAACAAGGACAAAAATTCGGTTGACTAGTTCCACAAATCCCAGATTCGAAAAATGCACTCAACACCTGCAACCAAGAGGGAACATCAGGTTAATCACGGAAAGACGCACACCCTTGTTACTTTTTCAGACTGAATTTGGGTCCACTATTCCCTCACGAAAATCAATGTAGACCACCAAGTTCCGTGAACTCCAGCACATCTTCAGCAAGGAAAACACTGGGTAGCACTTTTACTTATGACTTAGCCAATGAACACCATTCCAAAAAAAACCTACTGTACATGTCTTGGAAGGGAACTCATCCACAGGTTTCAGGAAGGAAACTCGGCAAGCTTTACGGGAAGCACTCAGGCAAATCGGCACCAATCACATTCCATAGTAGCTATCCTCGATTAACAGAGAATATTAAGCGAGGTGATTGACGCACTCCTCATCCTTGCTATGAAGTGCCCACCAAAAAAGCATGGAGATGCAGCGTTACGTCTTTTAAAAATACTGCAGTGATGAAGAACCTCCGTTGATTTGCTCCACAAGTTTCAGATAAAAAAAATTAACAAAACTCATTTGCACCAGCCAGAAAAACGTCTGACAGCGATACAACGAGGTCATCACCATCATTCGTTTTTCAAATTCAACTTCACACTATCCACAAAACTCACTGACATCCGCACCAACTGAGTAACGGCGTAGGACTGATGTGGAAGTGAGTTAAAATGGCCGATCGCGGGCAACAAGCTAGTCCATAGGACACCCTGAGAGACAGAGGACAGAGGAGGAAGGCAAACTTCTGGAGGTTTCCATCCCCCTTTCTTAAATGGCCTTGAAAGGAAACCGTTGCCACTTCCACCACCCCACTAACTTCTCCTTGGGCAGGCGTCCGCCACTTGGACCACTGAAATGTTCCATAGGAATTACAAATCCCACTACATTACACAACCCAACAAATAAAATTCTGGGGGAAGTCAACAGAATTGTTCTCAGCCCTCTAGAACCTAATTTCTCCGGGCACACCACTTCTCCAGATATATTCCAAAGTTCCCTTTTTTTGATGACAGGAAATTCAGTTTTAGTGGAAAATAATGTTCACGAAAAATGAACTGATCATGGGGGGATTCATGGCATGCCACGAAGAACAATTCCACAGACTTCATCCTGCAAACAATTTGTGTCACCTGTATTTCAGAACAACAGAAGTTCGAAAATGTATTCGTAAAAATATTTTAATAATGGTGTCACAACAAACTTGTGGGGCCCTCATCTGAAAGAGAGGATGTTTAGGTGGAATTTGAAGAATGAAATTTTTGAATCCAAATTCAATTAATCTGTCTCTGCCTCCATTGGGGATTTTTCAAAAGTAAAATCACTACTTGATCTTCACAATAACTTCTGTTATTTCTGGAATGAGAAGGTTTGTTTCAACAATATTCAACATGTGCACCCTATGGAATTTCTGCTAAAACTTGAAGAAAGAGTGTTAGGCTAACAAATTGTTCTATCAAGATTTTAGTGTATAAAATCACAGAAAGATAAAATTGATTCAAGACATTTTCCATCTCATAATTCAATTGCCATGAGAGGGCTATGATTGGGATGGGTGGAAGAAACTACCTTCATAATATCACCCAAACCCAATTTGAGATCTCCATTTGATTTTGAACATCCAACACATCTAATGCCACGAAATATGACTATATTGAACAAGAAAAATCTAGAACTGTGAGTAGCGTCNATGCCACGAAATATGACTATATTGAACAAGAAAAATCTAGAACTGTGAGTAGCGTCTTCTTCTTATATTGTTCTTCTTCAATAAATTTGACTGAAGATAAAATCAGGGTACATTTCGTATTTTTTCAACAGTGTCACGAAAATCAGATTGGGTTGCAGGCCACAAGGGAAAATTAAATCCACCAGATTTGCATTTTTTCCAGGCAGTTGGAAGGAAAACCCTTGGACAACTTTACATTTTTTTAGTAAACCGGATTTTTTGTACCACCCAAAAGTTTGGGCCTACACGATTGTTCGCCCCACGGGATTTTTTCTCCCACAGGATTTCATGATGAAGCCAAATATTAATCTGTGCTGCAAACTGTGTCTAAGAATGTGCATAATGTTAGACATTGTTGTAAACACAAGGCTCCATTGGAAAATCCCTTGGTTACAAGAATCTGTTGGTCAGCAAAATTTTGCTCCACAAAAGTCCTGCCAGTACAACACTTTTTCCATTTGAAAAATCAGTGTCAGATTGATCATCAAAATGAACTCAAAGAATGCTGTCTGTAGAAGAATATTGCTTCACATGTTGTACAAGTGGCTGAAAATATTTTTCCACACACAGAATTTTTCACCTATACAACATGATTCTTTGAGTTCATTTTGATGATCAACCTGAGACTGATTTTTCAAATGGAAAAATTGTTGTACTGGCAGGATTTTTTTGTGGAGCAAAATTTTGCTGACCAACAGATTTTTGTAACCAGGGTATTTTCCAGTGGAGCCTAGTGTTTAAAACTATGTCTAACATTATACACATTCTTTGACACAGTTTTCACCACAGGGCTACATCAGCAAATCCCACAGGTAGAAAAAAATTCCACACCAGTGTAATTTTTTTATCCTCTGGATTTTTGTATGGCACAGTTTCTGTTGACTGGATTTTTGAATCCTGTGGGTAAAAAAGTTCTGCTGTAAAAATCCTGTAGGTGCAAAAATGCCTTTGGTATATTGCACAAAATGGCAGATATTTGCATGCCAATATCCACCATTTCCTGTTTTGTTTTTTTGTGGACCATTTCTTGTGTTACATAAAATATTTTTCTACAGACAGCATTTTTCACCTGCAATATGTAATCATTCCTGGAGTTCATGTACCCCAGTCAGTTTTATCACAGCCTGGATTATCACAGTCTGTGGTGCCATGTTTATCACAGCCTGGACTCAGCAGGAGCTGTGCATCCCTGATGGTGAACTGAAGTATTCAGCTCA